TCCAGCCGGGTATCCGATATCAGAATCCGTTTTTTCCCTTCGCCGATAAAAATTCCTCGCGATTTACGACAGTCCATTAGCTGCATTTTTCCCAGCGACCATGGGGGCAGCTTGCACGAGCTTTTCAGCGAAAATTATCGTAATTAAGTCGGTTAATTGGTGTTAATATCGGCTTTGATTGCGGCGGTTGCGTGGAAGCGAATTATTAGCGCAAGAACTGAATGGCACATTTTTACACTCGGAGGTGGGTATTAAAAACGCATTATGTAAAATCGTGGAAAAGAAATTATGGTTTTTAGTTTTTGCGTTAGCTCCGTGACGGCTCGATTACCGGCGTGGAGGCTCGATGGGCAAACCCATGGCGTAGGGTGGTATTATTTTAATGCTCTTCATTAGGGTGGACTAAGTACGGGAATTACGGAGATGGGCTAAATGGAAAGGAGTTGCGTAATTGTGGGTTGGGAGGCTTCGAAACGCAGAAACAAGATTTCATTTCGTGGTGCATCTTTGCTCAGTCGTAATTGTTGTCTTCGTGCATGGTTTACGTTCCCATAAATTTTTCCTGGTTGTTTCTACAGTTTATTGCTTTTTCGAACGCTCTACAAACAGACAGACAGACAGACGGAAAAGGGAGATCACTTTAGGCTTACATTATTATTGGAAGTTAAGAGCGCTCACTCACGGTGTAAACGTTGAGTCAGTTTTTCTCGATATATTAAGGGTGCTGTGTGCTAAAATTGGTGTCATTGTAACCCTCATTGTTGGATAAACAACATATTAAAAAATCCAACTTATCGGTAAACAAAAGGTAGGAACTTTGAGATATTTCAGTACACCTTAACAAATTTCCTAATCTCTCAATGTCTAAAAACTGTTGATAACGTTTTTTTTTTGTTAATTGATTCTTTACTATTTCTTTTTACACGTATATTTACACCTGTGTACCTTTATTGTTTAAATCCGTGGCCCACCTGTTAGTGCAAATAGTTAGTCACCTCGAAAGGCCCCTTGGTGCGAAGAGTATCCTTGTAATTCATTCCACTTCCATAGTAAATATTCTTTTTTTTGTTATACCTATCTAACTGACAATATGAATCTTTGCAATAACTGCGGGAAAGCGACGAATAACAACCATATACAGTGCGATGGTTGTCAGGGTTACTTACACCTCGGATGTGTCGGACTGAGCGAAAATGATATAAAGAACAACAAAAACACGAATATGTCCCAGTTTAAAGACATCAAAAATTTAATTGCCACTATTACTTCAGATTTTGACACAAAGTTAAATAATTTAAAATCTCAATTTGAGGTTCAGTTAATGGATCTTAAAAAGTTAATTGATCAACCTAAACCTGATCCTTCGTCTAAATCTAATGATAATTTCGAAGAGGTTGTATTTGAAGTAATAGAACGCCAAAAGAGGAAAAATAATATTGTGATTTTTGGTTTGGAAGAGCCTATAAGAAACGATGGGGAGCATACCAGCAACGATCAATTAGAGGTGTTAAACATATTGAAAGAGATTAATCCTAACTGTGATGGTAACAGCCTAAAAATACTCAGACTTGGTAGATTCAATAAGGATAATCCTAGAGCAAGACCGGTGAAAGTCATATTCAATAACGAATTTGATGCCACATATTATTTAAAAAATTCGAAAAAAATTAAGAATAATGCCCGTTATAAAAACTGTTTTGTTGCATCAGATAAAACTCCTCGACAACTAGAATACTACAAAAAGCTTAAACAACAATTGATTGAACGAAAAACCAAAGGCGAATCAAACCTCACAATACGCCATTTTAACGATGTTCCCAAAATCACTAATTTAAACTAGAAGCTGTATCCAATTGCTCTCTTCATTGCTTGTATCAAAATGTTAATGGACTCAACTCAAAACTTACGGATTTCTATAATAATGTTGTAGCTTGTAATTATGACTTCATAGCGTTAACAGAAACATGGCTGTCAGATGAGGTAGGAAATGGTGAACTATTTAATGCTAACTACAATGTATATCGAAAAGATAGGGACTTCACGAATCTTGGACTCTCCAGAGGAGGAGGCGTTCTTCTCGCAATAAATAATAAGTTCAGTTGCACTGATTTAAAAATCTCCACTAAAACAACTGCAACACCGGAAATTGATATCCTTGGTCTAAAAATTTCAATCAACAATAAGACTTCATTATACATATTTCTTGTTTATATACCACCTTCTACATCGTTGATAAATATTGAACAGTTCTTTGAAATATTGGAAAGTGAAACTAATTTACACTCTGAGAATGTGGTATTCTTAGGAGATTTTAACGTACCCTCATTTATCACAGATAACTCAAACAGGTATAGTGTTATCCTAAATAATTTTCAAAATCTCTATAACTTGGTTCAGATTAACGCTGTTCACAATCAGATTGGTCGTATATTAGACTTAATATTTACAAATATGGAACCAATTTCAGTATGTAAATCAGATAATCCGTTAGTAAATGAGGACAAATATCATCCCGCACTTGATTTTTCTATTCAATTCACTCGAAGCCAATTTAAACCTTTTGCGATAAACCACGATACACCACATTTTAATTTTAAAAAAGCTAATTATCACCTCCTTTACGACATGCTGCGATCTGCAGACTGGTCATGTATCAATGCGAATGACAACGTGGAAACAGCTTGTAATCGTTTCTATAAAACACTGCATGGAGTACTTACTAATTGTGTCCCTATATATCGTTTCAAACAGAATCAAAGTTTTACCTATCCGCCCTGGTTTGACAGCGAAATAATCCATTCCGTACGTCAGAAGTGGTTGGCTTTCAAGAAATATAAACGTCACAAATCTGAGTATTTTTATAATATTTATCAGCAATGTCGAACCAAATGTAAAAATTTGATTGCTGCTGCGTACAAACAATATTTACAGAATGTAGAAAATTCTCTCTTGGGAGATCCAAGCACCAAGCAGGATTTGGGGATTTATTCAATCAAAAAAAAAAGATTCCAGGATTCCATCTGTCATGAAGCTTAATGAATATGAACACTCCAACCCTCAATCTATTGTTAATGCATTTGCAACACACTTCAAAGATGTTTATATAATGCCAGACCCTAGTATTTCCAACGATATTTATTCATCTGATGAATTTAAACTAAACTCTTGTATTAACATTGAGAGCATCTCGGAAGAGGAAGTTTTTAAAGCTTTAAAAAGTAGTAAGAACTCATTTACACAAGGGTTTGATGAAATCCCCAGTTTTATCCTCAAAGACTGCGCAGGAGTCTTTTCGCAGCCTTTATGCACACTTTTCAACCTCATTCTCAAACATTCTACTATCCCGGAAATATGGAAAAAATCATTCACAACACCAATTTTCAAAAAAGGTGATGTACAAGATGTAAAAAATTACCGACCCATTACTCTAATTTGCAATTTTGGTAAAATCTTTGACACAATACTTTGTCAACGTATATATCCTATGATCAAAGATATTATTTCTTCTGAACAGCACGGTTTTATGAGAAAAAGATCAACAGTAACTAATTTGGCTTGTTTTAATCAATTCGTGGCCGAGGTAATGGACAGTGGCAGTCAAGTTGATACCGTATATTTAGACTTTCAGAAAGCCTTTGATCAGGTGGATCATCATATTTTACTAACGAAGCTAAAAATTTATGGGTTTTCTGACTCCCTTGTTTCACTGTTTACGTCGTACTTGCTGAACAGAAAACAGTATGTTAGGTATCGAAACTTTATCTCCGATTTTTACACTCCGACTTCCGGCATTCCCCAAGGGTCAAACTTAGGACCGCTACTTTTTTTATTATTTGTAAACGATATTACTGATGAAATTTCATGTAACAAACTTCTTTTCGCGGATGACCTTAAACTCTTCACCGAAATCAAATCAATAAATGACTGTCAGTTTTTAAAAAATAACCTCGAATCAGTTGTGAAATGGTGTGGAAGAAATCGCCTGCATTTAAATAAGGATAAATGTTCTATGGTTTCATATAGTAGGAAGAAGAGGATTATTGAATATGATTACATAATAGATGGTGTTACAATATCAAGAATGGATAAAATTAGAGATCTAGGAGTATTATTCGATACCAAACTCTCTTTTAAGGAACATATCTTAGATATAGCCTCCAAATCAATTAAAAATCTATGGTTTCATTTATCGGAACTGTCGTGAGTTTCGTAATATTGAGACATTACGTATGTTGTATATTGCATGTATAAGGTCGAAACTAGAATACGCCTCCTTAATATGGGATCCTCTATACATTACTTATATCCATATTCTTGAAAAAGTGCAGCGAAAATGCCTCAAATTTTTAGTTTTTATTGCCGATGGCAATTACCCACCACGAAACTGTGACCATAGTCTGTTACTAGATCGCTTTCTTCTAAATTCATTGGAGACTAGACGATTTATAGTATCAATAAAATTTTTGTTCTGTTTACTCAAGGGAAAAATTGATTCGTCATATCTTGTAGGTAAAATCTTTTTCATTGTTCCGAGAGTAAATTCAAGATGCTCTTTAACATTTTATGTATCTACTTGTAGGACGAATATTTTGTATAAGGCTCCTGTACAAAACATATGCAACAAATTTAATTTAATTTCTAGACAATGCGACATTAATGCGGATCCTCTTCAAACAATTTCTAAATGTATCATAGATGTAGTAGGAATTTAATGTAAAGTAATTTAGTTAATTTTTGTATATTTTAGGTGCAGTATTGGTTAATTTTTCAATTTATATTATATAGTTAATAAGTATGTTCTTTTTATGCAAATACGCTCTTTAATGTGACCGCTACTTATTATATTTCCTGTAATTGGGTACATATATACCTGTTGGAAATAAAGATATTATTATTATTATTATTATTATTATTATTACGTTCCAAGCCAAGGAGGATTGAGTGAAGAAGTGGTTCCATGAGAGTAATCGTGTTGTCCGCGGCCGCCGCCGTCGCCATGGCATCGGCCGAAACTTTTCCAAACAAATAATTCTGCCCTCAAAATTCTCAAGTCCCGGCATGTAAACCTTCAAAATTACCGTAAAAATTTTGGTGTCGCAAAAATTCTTCGTATTCCTCCACTACAATGGTATTCGTCTGCCCCGAGAAGTGCAAAGAACGCAAGTCCCTTCTCACGAAACTCAAGGACCTCGTCGACCAAATAGACGACAAGCAATGCTGCCCCCAGTGCCCGCCGCCTTGCTGCCCGGGCGCCTGCTGCCCGCCGCCCTGCTGCCCGGGCCCCCCATGCTGTGGCATTGGACCGGTAATAGAAATTTACGATCCTCTCCCCAAACCCTGTCTGCCAATTGTCACCCCTTGTCAGCCGTGCTGTCCGCCCGCCTGTCCGTCGCCCCTGTGCTGTCCGCCTACGCAGTGCTGTCCCGGTACGTGCCCGCCGCCCACCACGCCCGTGCCAGTCTGCTGCCCCGCCCCCGCCTGTCCCGTCATGGTCCCGCCCTGCCTGCCGATCTGCACCCCCGTGCCCCCGCCTTGCGTGCCCGTCTGCAACCCCTGCCCCGAGGAGCAGCCCTGCGTGCCCTGCAACCCACCACAGATGATGGTTTGCTACCGCAGACCCAAGTGCTGCAATGGCTCTGGGAAGAGGTCCAAGAGTAGGGAGCTAAGGGGCGGCATTTTACACATAGGTTGCGACTGCGAGAGGCGCAACGGGCTCCAAGACGACTGCCCCAGGTGGGACTGCCGGGGGGCGCCCGAATGTCTGACCAAACCCGACCCCACCTGCGGGCCCAGCGAGTTCGCCAACGGGAAACATCTAGGCAGGCGGAACTACAGCGGGAGAGGAAAGGATCTCGAGGAGTACCAGTGCTATCCAGCCTATATCCGGCTGCCTCCGTGTCCTCCGTGTTCCCCGTGCGGCGGCTGTCCGCCGCCGTGTTGTCCTTGTCCCTGTCCTGCTCCGTGCTGCGACCCTTGTTGCAATCCTTGTCCTCCGCCAGTGTGCTGTCCGGCCGTACCGCTGATCCCACAGGCGCCGTGTCCTCCGCCCATCTGCGCAGGACCGCCGCCTCTGGTGCCAATAGGCACCATTGTACCCGCCGTTCCGGCCGTCCCGTGCTGTCCAGTGCCTTGTCCGCCGCCGCCTGTGGCGTGCTGCCCTCCGTGTCCATGTCCTTGTCCGTGTCCGTGTCCGTGTCCTTGTCCTTGTTAAGTCTAACTGTAATAAATAAGAGGAAAAGAAACGCTCTACATTTATTTTTAGATTAGTTCAAGGCTGACCACTAATCAAGAACAGCTTTTAGTACCAAGGGGTTGAAATTTGAAAAGTAGCCGGTCCAACGATTTTTGTAAACCTGATCACCAGTCTATTTTTACCATAATTGTACCTCGCTACAGGTCCATGATAAGGCAAGTGGCAAAACCATCACACTATAGGTCCTTTGGTTTACCAAAAGGTGTCCCGGATATGCAACACAGAGTCCTAAATACTAGTTACCATAACCAGTTCCAACATATCTTCGGCAGCGATAATTGTAGTTTCCACTGCACTTCTTAGAAAAGTTAAAGCAATAAATTAGGGGAAAAGAAACACTTCTGACATAATAATAATAATAATAATATTTATTTATGACCAACAGTGTTTACAGCACCATCTCCATCAGTTAAAGCATCACAATCCATAGAATCAGATAAAGCAAAAGTTGTCTTAAAAAAATCAGCAAAAGCATTAACGATATCGGTAGGAGTTTCAAAAGTTTTGTTTTCAAAGGACATCTTTCCGGGAATTCTAGTTCCACTTTTCTTTGCGTTAATGAAACGCCGGAATTGCTTGGGATCAGTTTGGAGGTTTTCTTGGATCTTTTTTAGGTACGAATTATAGATAATTTTTTAGTAGATGCTCTCGCTGCTTTAAATTTAGCTAGTTCAGGGGATAAGCCAAAGCGCTTGTACTTTTTTAGATAACGATGTTTTTTCTTTATAAGACTTCCAATTTCACTACCAAACCAAGCAGGATAACGTCGCTTTCTTGAGCGAAAAATACGAACTCATTTATCAAACAAACACCATATGGTCAACTGGGAATATATATTACAAAAACAAGATTTATTGCTATTCGTCGGAAAAACAGATTAGGTATTTTTCTCTTAATATGTGTAGTCTTCTTTTCACGACAAGAAAGGTGAAACTTGTTTAAAACGGTAATTTTTTGTAGAAAAGTATCGATTTTGCAATGTGGCTCCGCCCTTCGGTCTGACAACGAATGAAAAATTCATCACAATTGAGCTTGGGATGGATATGGGTGGGGCTTAATTATTGCCTTGTTTTTTTCTCAATATACATACACAGTATTCTTTGAACAACACGATACTCAAAAACATAATTTTAATTCTTGTAAAGAATATCTCAATTGTGATGATTTCTTATAATCGCCGTAAACCAAGGGGGTGGAACTTAACTGCAAAATCCTTATTTCTCTAGGAGAAATTAAAAATGTGTTTTTGTGTATCGTGTTGTTTAAAGAAACGATTTTGTAATTAAGCTACGCCCTCGACTTACGACGAATAAAAAAAATCATCCGAATCGAGACAGGGCGGGTGGGCGGGGCTTATATTTGCCTCTTTTTTTCTTAATATTCATAGCCATCTTTTCAAAACAAGAAACATGGTTAAAATGGTACATTTTTGCAAGGAAATATGGATTTTGCAATTATACGACGAAACCTGATCGCAAAATTGAGATTTCCTTATCCAAATTTTCCATTTTAAATATGTTTTAAGTTTTATGTTGAAAAGGCAAAATGTAAACCCGCCCGCCCGCCCATCTCAATTGTGATGATTTTTTTATTCGCCGTGAAGCAAGAGGGCGGAGCTTAACTGCATACTTATTTCTTTACAAGAAATTAAAAACGTGTTGTCGTGTATCGTGTTGTTCAAAGAATACTACGTATGTTAAGAAAAAACGGCGATAAAATATATACCCCGCCCACCCACCCCATCGCTATTGTGATGATCTTTTTATTCTTAGAAATTTAAAACACGTTTAAAAAGGTAAATTCTTGTAGATAAATATGGACCTTGGAATTAAATCCCGCCCCTCGATCTGACAACGAATTAAAAATTCAAAACGATGAGATCGAGACGGTTGGGTGGGGCTTCTCCTTTGGTTGTCTTTTTTAATTAATGCAATTAGTTTTCTTTGTATAACACGATTACTTAAGAATAATGGTAATTTCTCGTAGAAAATAAGGATTTTACAATTAAGCTCCGCCCCTCGGCTTACGACAAATAAAAAAATAATCATCAGAATCGAGACGGGCGGGTGGGCGGGGCTTATATTTTGCCTTTCCTTTTTTCTTAATATTCATAGCCATTTTTTCACAACAAGAAACATGGTTAAAATGGTACATTTTTACAAGGAAATACGGCTTTTGCAATTATGCGGCCAAACCTTATTGCAAAATTGAGATTTCCTTATAAAAATTTTCCATTTTTAACATGTTTTAAGTTTCATGTTGAAAAGGCAAAATGTACGCCCGCCCGCCCGCCCATCTCAATTGTGATGATTTTTTTTATTCGCCGTGAACCAAGGGGGCGGAGCTTAACTGCAAAATACTTATTTCGTTACAGGAAATTAAAAACGTGTTGTCGTGTATTGTGTTGTTCAAAGAATACTACGCATGTTAAGAAAAAACGGCAATAAAATATATACCCCGCCCACCCACCCCATCGCTATTGTAATGATCTTTTTATTCTTAGAAATTTAAAACACGTTTAAAATGGTAAATTCTTGTAGACAAATATAGACCTTGCAGTTAAGCCCTGCCCCTCGATTTGACAAGGAATAAAAAATCCATCACAGTTGAGAATTATGATCGGGGCGGGTATGGGTGGCGCTTAATCTTTGGCTTTATTTTTTTCTTAATATACATAGTATTGTTTGAACAAGACGATATTCAAAAACATGATTTTAATATCTCGTAGAGAAATAAGGATTTTGCAGTTAAGCTTCGCCCTCTTGGCTCACGACGAATAAAAAAATCATCAGAATTGAGACTGGGTGGGTGGGAGGGGTTTATATTTTTCCTTTTTTTTTTCTTAATATTCTTAGCCATCTTTTCACAACAAGAAACATGGTACATTTTTGCAAGGAAATATGACTTTTGCAATTTTGGGGCGGAGCCTAATTGCAAAATCGATATTCTCTTATACAAATTTTCCATTGTAAACATGTTTTAAGTTTCATGTTGTGAAAAGAAGTCTACACATATTAAAACCAAAAGGCAAAATATAAGCCCGCCCGCCCGCCCTATCTCAATTGTGATGATTTTTTTTTATTCGTCGTGAACCAAGGGGGCGGAGCTTAACTGCAAAATACTTATTTCTTTACAAGAAATTAAAAACGTGTTTTCGTGTTATTCAAAGAATACTATGTATATTAAGAAAAAAGCGGCAAAATATAAATTTTTTTTATTCTTAGAAACTTAAAATACGTTTAAAATGGTAAATGTTTGTAAGGAAATATGGATTTTGCAATTAGGCTCCGCCCCTAGGACAGCCAACAATTGAAAAATTCATTACTATTTAGATCAGCAATGGATCAGGGCAGGTATAGGTGGGGCTTAATCTTTGGCTTTAATTTTTTCTTAATATACATATCATTTTTCGAATAACACTACTTTCAAAAACATGTCTCACATGGTAATTTCTTCTAGAGACATAATAAGGATTTTTCAATAATTAAATTCCGCTCTTTTGGCTCTCGACGATTGAAAAAAATTCATTACACTTGAGATAGGACGGATGGGCGGGGCTTATATTTTGCTTTATTTCTTAAATATATGTGGTCGTCTGTTCAGAATAATAAACTTAAAACATGTTTAAAATGGTAAATTCTTTTAGACAAATAGGGACATTGCAATTAAGCCCTGCCCCTCGATTTGACAAGGAATAAAAAATTCATCACAGTTGAGAATTGCGATCGGGGCGGGTATGGGTGGCGCTTATTCTTTGGCTTTATTTTTTTTTTAATATACATAGTATTCTTTGAACAAGACGATATTCAAAAACATGTTTTTAATTTCTCGTAGAGAAATAAGGATTTTGCAGTTAAGCTCCGCCCTCTTGGCTCATGACGAATAAAAAATATCATCACAATTGACACAGGGCGGGTGGGCGGGGCTACATTTTGCCTTTTTTTTCTTAACATGTGTAGTCATCTTTTCACAACAAGAAACTTACAACATGTTTAAAATGGTAATTTGTACAGGAAAATACCGATTTTGCAATTACGCTCCGCCCCTAAGTCTAACAAGGAATGAAAAATTCATCACGATTGAGATCGAGAGGGATGGGTGGGGCTTCTCTTTTCCTTTTCTTCTTTAATTAATACATTATTTTAGTTTTCTTTGTATAACACGATTACTTAAGAACATATTTCTCATGGTAATTTCTCGTAAAAAAATAAGGATTTGGCAATTAAGCTCCGCCCCTCGGCTTACGACGAATTAAAAAAATTATCAGAATTGAGACAGGGTGGGTGGGCGGGGCTTATATTTTTCCTTTTTTTTTTCTTAATATTCATAGCCATCTTTTCACAACAAGAAACATGGTTAAAATGGAATATTTTTGCGAAGACACGGATTTTGCAAGTATGGGGCGGGGCCTAATTGCAAAATTAAGATTTCCTTATACAAATTTTCCATTTTGAACATGTTTTAAGTTACATGTTGTGAAAAGAAGTTTACACATATTAGTACAAAAAGGCAAAATGTAAACCCGCCCACCCGCCCTGTCTCAATTGTGACGATTTTTTTTAATTGCCGTGAACCAAGGACGAGGAGCTTAACTGCAAAATACTTATTTCTTTACAAGAAATTAAAAACGTGTTTTTTTGAGTATCGTGTTGTTCAAAGAATACTAATTTCTCGTAGAAAATAAGGATTTTACATTTAAGCCTCGCCCCTTGGCTTACGAGGAATAAATACAATCATCAGAATCGAGACAGGGTGGGTGGGCGGGGCTTATATTTTGCCTTTTTTTTTCTTAATATTCATAGCCATCTTTTCACAACAAGAAACTTAGATCATGGTTAAAATGGTACATTTTTGCGAGGAAATATGGACTTTGCAGCATTTGAAAAAGAAGTTAAATCTATTCGTTGAACAGAAATATGCTTTTTCACTGCTAATAAAACACCACCACCACGCGTAACATTGACGGCTAATAACTAATTAGATACTGAATCTATTAACTAGATTTCTGTTAGACATTCTAAATAATATTCGCTGATACAAGAAGCAACAAAAAAGTATCCAATTTAGTCTTCAGGCTGCGAACATTTTGGTAATAAAAGCTGATTTCCATACTGTTATACTTGTTTTCAGCCCCGTAGCTACGGGGGGGCAAGATGGGGCTGAGCCCCCCCTAGCAGTTGTGGTTGCCCCCCCTGGAGCACTTACATATTATTAATTTCAAATGAATAATAAAATTTTAATATAATGCCGATTGCTGAAGCATATTTACTAGTCCCACCCGCCCACCCTTTATTTTGTTACAGGGTATGTTATTTGGCAATCAGTGTTGGGCAGTACCTAGATACTTGTATCTAAATAAAGTATCTAGATACATTTTTGGGTATCTAGTATCTGTGTCTAGATAAAATCGAATTTTAGGCACAAAATATCTGTATCTAGATACAAAATTAATGGCGCAGATACAGATACATTTTTTTGTTTCACTTTTTTTTCAGTAGTTATTAGTTGAGTTATACTAGTAGTAATTTTTGATACTTCATGTTGGTGATTTTGATCACATAAACAAAAATAGAGGTAAGAGGTCCACTATAGTGTTCTGGCACGGAAATTTTCATATTTTAAAAACCATCATTTCCTACATTGTAGCCTTCAGTACTTATACATCTTTAAATATAATCCTGAGGAGTAATAAATCTAAGCCATGGTAAGATGGTATTTTAAAAACCATAAACCACAATTCACTATTCACTGCGTTTTACCCTTATGGGGGCAATGCATTTTATCTGTGTACCTGGCAACCCGTGTCCGGTAGGCCCGCTGGTCGTATTTGTGTTATTAAACAAGAGTAATTTGTATAGTAAAAATATTTGTTTAAGGTATGTTATTATTTTTAGAAAATAATAATTGCGTGTTACATAATAATGATTAATTTTTTCAATTAGCACAAATTAGTTCTGTAATCGACTAATCGAATGTTCAATACAAACTTTTCTCTCGCATAAATCGCATATTTGTTACTGTTTTATACCTTTGTTTTTCAGACAAATGTAGCATCTTTTCCTGTTGCCACGTGTCATTTCTTCACTTTTTCATTGTTGGACCTAACGCGAGGCGGGCTTGGCAGGTCCGTTTTGCCCTAAAATGTGCCGATTATGTTTAAGCGTAAATCTTCGGCAATAAAATTAATATTTTTACAACCCTCGATAGAATAATTTATGGTGATATATTCTCAGAAATCGTGAAACGAGATTAAAATAATATGAGTTTCAACAAAAATCTGAAAATTTGATGTTGCACTCTGGTGATTCCGGCTTGCCAGGCAGCTTTTGATCCTATAAGGGGTTTAAATACCTTTCTAAAAAATTGTACTTATTTTGCCTTAAACCGAACCAGCAATTCTTCTTAAAATGTATATACCTGCCGCACCGGGATAGACGATTACCGGACATGGTCATAAAAACATCGTAAGCCGATATTGAAGAATAATAATTTGCCGACCACAGACAGACCTTCAGCACAGAATAATCATTTCCCGTATTCTTTTGAAATATTAATTTTAATACTGGAGATAATTATTAGATATATTGAAAATTGAAACAAAATTTGGACACTGTAGTATGGGAATAAAAACAAAAAAAAATATTCTTTTTAAGCCTATGTAATAAATATTGCACAATTTGCGACACATCAAACAGCGAAACGATGGCCTATTTGCAGGAAAAAAGAAAATATTTTTCAGTCTTGAATAATTATGCTACAGTAAAATATTTATTTTTTAAATTTAATACCACAATCCCTTCTTCTGCACCTGTGGAACGGGTGTTTAGTAGCGGAAACCAAAGTCTGAAACCAAGAAGAAATAATTTAACAATACATAAAAAAATACATAAACATGTTTTCAGTTAAAAAAAAAAAAGCTTCAAAAAGTATCTGTTTTCTTGTATCTGTATCTAGATACATTTCGAAAAAATCGAAAACAATCTGTATCTAGATACTTTTAAAAGTATCTGTTCCCAACATTGTTGGCAATATTATACGAATTTTTAGATGCAGTCCAGCTGTTTGTGAATCTACATTCTCTGAATAGATCGCAATGACGCATCAAAGATTGGCAAACTTGGTTTTTCTGGCTTTTGAAAAGTACCGCACCAATTCTTTGGACTTGGACAGGTTTTTACCAAAATTTAATAACGGAAAAAACGACGTTTGCAATTATTTTAATGAAAAAATAAAGCAGTTATCTGAGTGTATTATTGAAATATATATATTTGCATGAAGCCCCCCTCTGTCGACAAACTTGCCCCCCCTGAATAAGTTTTCTAGCTACGGGGCTGCTTGTTTTTCATAATGAAGTACTAGTTTAATCGGTCCAGCTTTACACAAAGTTGACCATATCATATCTACCTAACCTTATTGGGAACAAAAGCTTGAACTATTGACTGCTGTGAATCAAAATCAGTAGATGGAGTCAGATCAGCATCTATAAAATGAAAAAATTCCAAACAAAGGAAGTATCTTGGTCTGTCTGACCATTACGGTTCTGAGCAGAATCTGGTTCAGGGAGACCGTCTCATTAAGCTTTTGAATACTTTCCAGCAAACCAGGAAGTATATTACAGCAAACAGCAGTTGCATTGTTGGGCAGCAGGAGGATTATCACCGGAAAGACACTGCATTTCCAAAAAGCACCACCTAAGGATTTTATTCTGGAAAAGTTAAAAGCTCTCTGTTTTATTGGGTGTCTTCGCCTTAAAATCTTCTAGATTGCTCACTCTACGCCCCTTCTTCACCGTTCTTGTTAACGTTCACTACGCCAGCTTCCGAATTCCTCCCGGCCGCGTCCTTGCCCCTCTTACGTGTCCTTTCCCTCCGCAAACAGAAAAGTTTCGTTGCAAATTTCTTTAAATATGTATCACTGGCATCGGCTGCTGGCACGAAATTTTACGTTTCATGCACGAATGCACCAGTTCTTGAAAGTCCGCTATCGAGGAGGATATCGCATCGGCAGCACGCTCGGTACACTTCATGACCTGACGATTCAGAGACCGACGACTAGGGTGCAATAATTGCAAGGCGCTGTTCTAATTGGGGAGAGCACGCCAACAGCGACGTTATTGTTGTGCAGATTATACTAGAATAAGAAAATTGATAGTTGCGTTACATTAACATTTTACAAACCAGAGTTTGCTCTATTACGTTTCTAAAGACTTTAAAAATAACCCCGCATTTCCATCAACTCCGGCCGTCGCCTTATCCTCCCTGTCGTGCCGAATCCAGATAACCTCCAAACATGCAACCGCCGACGAAAAAACCAGATTTAGGACATCAAAGCCGCATTCGCATGTCGCTCTTGCACATCTAACCTCCCGATAAACCCCGCATCATTTGCATTCCATTGTTTACGACTCGCCAGCGCGTTTTAAGGTGCTATTGCACTTTTCCATCTGGTTAATGCACTCGCTCATTATGCATTTGCCGCATTTCCGCTTTAGTCGCGAAATAAGACACAGTATAACAGATTTAATTGTCTTTATTACAAATACATGATGCGTTATTTGTCAGTTAGACGCTGCTGCTGATATTTGCTCATTTCCTCCACGTAGATGTTCTGCTGGACGTAGTTGCGCACGGACTGGACTTGCTCCTGCCAGTGGTAGTACCAATTGTCGAACTCGGCAACGGTTTCGAAGGTGAGCCCGGTTTGCCAGAGGACGGTGCTGCAGTCGTCGTAGCACTTGGTGAAGTGGTCGGCGCTGGAGGACTCCACCGGGACCCACTGTAAGGCCACGTCGTTCGTGGGATTTTCGTCGTCCTCTTCATCATAAGCTTCCATTTCGTAATCTAGTTCTTCGTTTTCGCTCTCTGAAGAAATGGTTACTTGTTCTTGACGACAAAACTCTTGGAAGGTTTGAATGTCTTGCGAGGGAAGGGAGTTCAACCAGGTTTTGTCGCTCGTAGTCAACGCGCACTGGTAGCCAGCTTTGAAAATATCTTCAATGTCGAGTTCGTCTGTGGGTGCTTCTATTTCTATTTCTACGTCTTCAGTTTTAGTTACCACAGTGTCGGTACTAGAATTCAGAAGTAGAATGTCTTCCGCTGTGCTAATCTGATCGTCTGTATTTTTGTCTTTGAGAATTGTAAGATATCCATCTAAGGTGTCTGCCAAATCTGTGTCTATGTGGGTGTGGAAATCTATCAAAAGCCTCGTGATACTAAGGAGGGCTTTATTTTTGCTCAAGGTTTCGTTTTTGTCGTCTTTTATTCCTATTGTGGGTTCATTTAGTTTCCGTTTTTTACTATCGTCTTCTGGAGTTTCTCCATTTATTAATGAAGAGAGTATATCATCACAATTCGTGTCATCTGATGAAATTAGAGTCTCATTTTCTTTCTCTTCTATTTTAATTTCCCTTTTACGTTTCTTGGAATCATCGCTTTCGTCTCCTATTAACGAACTGAGTAAATTATCAGTGTCAAAACACGTCGTCGAGTCTTTTTCTTCTTCCTTTTCTTTACCTAGTAGCATATTTTCAACACCTTCACTACTCAACTCTTCTAGTTTTATCTTCTTCTTGTTGTTTTTACCACGAGTTGGAGTGTCTTCTTTGTTACATTTCAAAAAGTCCTCCACACTTTCTTTAGTCAAGTCTTCTAATTTTATCTTCTTATTCTTTTTGTTGTTCGTAGTTGGACTCTCTTTGTCGTTCGTCGTCCCTTTGGCGTCCTCAAATTTAATCTTCTTCTTATTACAATTTTTGCTATTTTTACTATTTTTGTTGTTTTTGTTACTTCTGGCACTCTGTTTCATCAGTAGCACCTCCTTCTTGATTGTCTCGCTCACCTCATTGGCGCTCTCGGGCACCACCCCCCAAATCTGCTCCAACCCACTCACATCCAGTTGCCACAAATCACCCCCACCCTTCAAAGGCGGCAATTTCGAAATCGACAAATTCGTCGCACCAATACTCCCCAAAATCGTCTGCATTTTCTTAATTTCTAGCCCCTCCAAAGCAAAGTTTATGCAAATCCCAGTGGACCCGTACCTCCCCGCTCTCCCCATCCGGTGCAAGTACGTCACAGCATCCACCGGAAGGTCATAATTGATAACTAAATCAACATTAGCGGCATCTATCCCCCTTGCAGTCAAGTCAGTCGAAAGCAATATCCTGCTTTTGAAGTTTTTCAAGTTATTGATAGCCTCCAAGCGCCCGCTTTGCTCCACCGCCGCCGAAATAAACGACGAATTCCACCCCTTTTGGTTCAAATAGTTAGAAACACTCTCAGTTCGTGACTGGTAGTTGGTGAAAACTAGACATTGAGTGAAGGAGACGTTCGTGAATATTTCTACAAGAATTTCGTTTTTGGCTTTCATTTGCTGGACCGCGTTAATCGTGTTGGAGTTTAACACAGCGACGAATTGTTTGAGACCTAGGAGGAGCGGGGTTTCGTTTTCGGACGTCACGTGCGTTGGGGAAAGCATGTAATTGGCTAGGAACGTGTCAAGCTCCTGGGGGTAGGTGGCACTAGTCGCGATTAATTGTTTGCGAGGGGGGAGCACGTCGTAGATTTCGTTAATGTCGTTCTGGAACGTGGTTTCCATGAGTTTGTCGGCTTCATCAAGAACAAACAAACGGATTGACTTTGTGGAAAGAGCGCCTAGGGTGATGAGGTGCTTGACGCGGCCTGGGGCCCCCACGGCGACGTGACACTGGCTGCATTTTTTAATGTCGTCTTCCAGGGGCATGCCGCCAATAAAACACCCAATTGAGAGACCTACAAATCTACATTAAAACGACAGAAACTTAGCTAGACCACAAACCTTCAATGAAACGTCCAATGTTTTTTAAAACGTCTTCAATTTGTACCGCGATTTCTCGCGTAGGCACTAGAATTAACACTTGCGGAGTGATTTTGGCCACGTTTACGGTCTCTAAAGTTATAGTTGAGAATACTAGAGTTTTTCCGGTTCCTGACTTGGATTTGACGATCAAATCTAGAAATTTAGTGTCAAGTGGGTTTAGAGAGGGTTCGTGGGGTTACCGAAGCCGCATCGTCCCAGTGGTATCGCTTTAAATTGGATTGGAGAGGGTTTCTTGAATCCGCTCTCAGTGAGGCCATTCTGGATTTCAGACTTGAGTAGTAACGAGGCGAAAGTGACATTTTCCTTCAAAGTTACGTCTTTAGTTCGTTCTTTTTCTTGTAAATCGTGTGCTATGTGTTGTTGCATATTAAATAAACAAACGTAAAGGGGATAACCTCAAAAAACAATCACATTTGACGTTGACGTTTGTCGAATGAGCTCTGTTTTATCGGCTTTTTGTGGCTAAGGTCTCGTGGACGGGAGATTAGTGGATGTCGTGTTGTCTACGCGGAAGTATAGCTGGTTGCCTACATTACTGATAATTTTTGTTTTTCAAATATAGTTTCACAACGTGCTTTTATAGCCATAAATCTGAGTTTAAGTAGTTTCCAATGCATTTGCGTTGGCGGTCGTTCCTAAAGTAAACGGTTATCAAAGGATTGTTTTTGAAACGAAATAACCAACCGCACATAACACTAATAAAATAACAAATGAATAGAAATATGGTTGCGTAAATAACGTCCACGCCAAACACATACAAATCGATATTAAATAACATTTTATTGTTCTGATATTCAGGTTATAACAAAAGGCAACAAAACAATAGGAAAGTACTATGTCTTAAGTGTAAATCGAAAAAAAAAAAATGTAAACAGAACTGGCGTAAAATGAACAATACCTCACTATAACCGAGAGCATTATTGTTGCAGAATAACTACGAAAAATCGAATTCAATATCTCACATATAGTCGAATTTCCATGATTAATAAATACCCATAAAACCTCAAGCACATGTTTGACAGTAACAGTTTTTCTAAATTAATCAATATTATAAAAAACCAAATCTCATGTTAGTTTCGAGCGACGTAATTGTTGAAGATAATTACGTTGCACCGGTTTGTGCAAAGCGAGCTGTTCTAGAGCCTCTTCTATCGTGAACCACTGCCTTTTCCTGCCTATGGTCTTCGAGTCTTCCCATTCGTCTAGTTCTTCGGTTACTGTCATGACATACACTTCAGTTCTGTCTTTGTGTTCCAAATTCTGGAAGGTGGGAAAGATTAGTTTTTGTGGACGGTTTTTTTTTCCTAATACTTACTTCAAAAACTCCCAAGCTACGTCCTAGCTTGCCGATGACGCCCGCTTCTTCGAGGACTTCCCTCGTGGCGGTCACGCTCGGTTCCTCCTCCGGTTCGACGCCGCCTCCGGGAACAATCCATTTCTCGGGCCTGCGAGAAGACGTCACCAAAAGGACCTTGAAAGCAACGAATTCGTTATTGACGCGTCTTGAATGCGGCGGGTTTCTCAATTAGGTTGTTTACGCGTGTTTTAGAACGGGGACGGAGATAATAGTAACGGAGGAAAATAGTTTCAACACTTATGATTACAAAAGTTGATTTAAAGTTGGATGTAAATTATTTCTAGTGATCTCACTGGTTAAATATTTGCATTTTTTAAATTACTATGAACACATACTACGGAAATAAAAAACTAGGGGAAAAAAATTGGTAGGTTATTTGGACAGAACTTCCCTTGCCTTTGAAGTAAAGCCCAGTAATACCGCTTCTTTAAAAAGGCATAAAATTTGGTTTTGTGATTTTTGTCTTTTACCCCTACAAAGTAAAAACCAGTGAAATCGAAAAATGGAAAAAAAGAAAATCGAAAAATCTTCTGAAAGTCAGAAAATCGAAAAGTAAGAAATTGAAACACTGAAAATTAAAAACTAGGAAGATTGAAAATTTGAGTCTCGAAAATCGAAAACTTAAAGAGAAATAAAAAATCCAGAACTGAAACTTTAAAAATCAAAGAATAGAAACATTGAAAAATCGAGAAATCGGAATATATCGAATAACCGAAAGTTCGAAAATCGAAAAAATAGAAAATTCTTTCAGAAACTCAAAAAATTGAAAATTGAAAAATCGAAAACAAGAACTGAAAGTTTGAAAAGCGAAAATCGAAAACTCGGGAAATAATAAATCGAAAAGTAAAATAATCGAAAAACTTAATAATGAAAAAATTGGAGAAATCGGAAAACCCAGAATTTGAAATTCGAAAAAATACAAAAAATCTTCCAGAAACTTAAAAAATCGAAAAATCCAAAAATCAAAGTCCACATGGATTGAAATTTTAAGAAGCGAAAATCGAAAACTCGAGAAATAAAAAAATTGAAAAGTAACATAACTGAAAAATTGAAAATTCGATGAATCAAATATTCGGAAAAACGAAAATCTGCAAAATCGGAAAACCTAGAATTCGAAAATCTAGGAATCAAAATATAGAAAAAAACGAAATATGGAAAATCGAAAAATCCAAAAATCGAAATCAAAAAATGGAAAAATTGAAAAAATTGAGGTATCAAAATTAAAAAATCGAAAAAAGCTGAAAAGTCGAGAAATCGACAAACCAAAATATATAAAATAAAAATATTGAAAAATTGAAAAATCTAGATATGGAAACATTCCCAAAATTGAAGTGTCAAAAAGTTGAGAAATCGAAAACCTGAAAAATTTTACATTGAAAAACCGAGAAGTCGATAAATGGAAAATTAGAAAAATTGAAAAATTTAAATAATTATTAAGAAATTAAAAAATGGAAAAACAGAAAATCGAAAAAATAGAAAAATCTTCTGGAAAGTCAAAAAATCGAAAAGTAAAAGAAATTGAAAAATTGAAAATCGATGACTAGAAAGAATCTCGAAAATCGAAAACTTAAAGAGGAATAAAAAAATCGAAATGTAAAGTATTTGAAAAAACGAAAAACTGAAGAACGGAAAAGTTGAAAAATCAAAAAATCCAAAATTGAAAATTTAAAAATTAAAGAATAGAAAAATTGAAAAATCGAGAAATCGGAATATCGAATAACCGAAAGTTCGAAAATAAAAACAATAGAAAAATCTTCCGGAAACTAAAAAATCGAAAATTGAAAAATCGAAAAACTGAAGATTGTAAAAATTGAAAATTTGAGAACCGAAAATAGAAAACTCGAGAAAGAAAAAATCGAAAAGTAAAATAATTGAAAAATTGAAAGTCGAAAGATAAGCAAATTGAAAATTCGATGAATCAAACATTCGGAAAAACGAAAACTCGCGAAATAGGAAAACCTAGAATTCGAAAAACGAAAAAATAGAAAAATCTTCCAGAAGCTTAAGAAATCGAAAAATCAAAAATCGAAAAAACCAGATGGATTGAAAATTTGAGAAACGGAAATCGAAAACTCGAGAAATAAAACACTGAAAAGCAAAATAATTAAAAAATTGAAAAACTGAAGAATAAAAAAATTGAAAATCAAAAGGTAAAAAATTGAAAATTCGATGAATCAAATATTCGGAAAAAGAAAATCCGGGAAATCGGAAAACCTAGAATTCGAAAATTTAAGAATCGAAATATAGAAAAACATATCGAAAGTCGAAAAATCCAAAAATCGAAAATTCAAGGAATGGTAAAATTGAGATAGCGAAATTAAAAAAATTCGAAAAGCCGAAAAATCGAAAAATCTAAAATTAAAATACTGAAAAATTGAAAAATCCAGATATGGAAAAATTCCCAAAATTGATATGTTAAAAGTTGAGAAATCGAAAACTTGAAAAATCGTGAAACCGAAAAATTTCACGATATTGAAAAATCGAGAAGTCAATAAATGGAAAATTCGAAAAGCCGAAAAGTCGAAAAATTAAAAAATCGAAAAAAGCCGAAAAGTCGAGAAATCGACAAACCAAAATATCTAAAATAAAAATATTGAAAAATTGAAAAATCCAGATATGGAAAAATTCCCAAAATTGAAGTGTCAAAAAGTTGAGAAATCGAAAATCTGAAAAATTTTACGACATTGAAAAACCGAGAAGTCGATAAATGGAAAATTAGAAAAATTGAAAAACAGAAAATCGAAAAAATAGAAAAATCTTCTGGAAAGTAAAAAAATCGAAAAGTAAAAGACATTGAAAAATTGAAAATCGATGACTAGAAAGACTGAAAATTTGAATCTCGAAAATCGAAAACTTAAAGAGGAATAAAAAAATCGAAAAGTAAAGTATTTGAAAAAACGAAAAACTGAAGAATGGAACAGTTGAAAAATCAAAAAATCCAAAATTAAAATTTAAAAATCAAAGAATAGAAAAATTGAAAAATCGAGAAATCGGAATATCGAATAACCGAAAGTTCGAAAATCAAAAAAAATAGAAAAATCTTCCAGAAACAAAAAAATCGAAAATTGAAAAATCGAAAAACTGAAGATTGTAGAAATTGAAAATTTGAAAATTTAAAAATCGAAAACCAGAAGGATTGAAAATTTGAGAACTGAAAATAGAAAATTCGATGAATCAAATATTCGGAAAAACGAAAATTCGCGAAATCGGAAAACCTAGAATTCGAAAATCGAAAAAATAGAAAAATCTTCCAGAAGCTTATGAAATCGAAAAATTGAAAAACTGAAGAATAAAAAAATTGAAAATCAAAAGGTAAAAAATTGAAAATTCGATGAATCAAATTTTCGGAAAAAGAAAATCCAGGAAATCGGAAAACCTAGAATTCGAAAATTTGAGAAGCGAAATATAGAAAAACATATCGAAAGTCGAAAAATCCAAAAATCGAAAAGTCAAGGAATGGTAAAATTGAGATACCGAAATTAAAAAAATTCGAAAAGCCGAAAAATCGAAAAATTTAAAATTAAAATACTGAAAAATTGAAAAATCCAGATATGGAAAAATTCCCAAATTGATATGTTAAAAGTTGAGAAATCGAAAACTTGAAAAATCGTGAAACCGAAAAATTTTACGACATTGAAAAACTAAGAAGTCGATAAATGGAAAATTCGAAAATTAGAAATATTTAAATAGTTATTAAAAAATTTAAAAAATCATAAAATCGAGAAACTGAAAAATCGAAAAACGAAATATCGAAAAATGGAAAAGCAGAAAATCGAAAAAATTGAAAAATTTTCCAAAAACTTAAAAAATCGAAAATTGCAAAATCGAAAAATTGAAGATTGTAAAAGTTGAAACATCGAAAATTCCAAAAATTAAAAACCGAAAACCAAAAGGATTGAAAATTTGGGAAGCGAAAATCGAAAATTCGATGAATCAAATATTTTGAAAAACGAAAATCCGAGAAATCGAAAGAAGGCCAAGAAGTCAAGAAATCGACAAACCGAAATATCTAAAATTAAAATATTGAAAATTGAAAAATCCAGATATGGAAAAATTCCCACAATTGAAGTGTTGAAAAGTTGAGAAATCAAAAACTTGAAAAATCGTGAAACCGAAAAATTTTACGACATTGAAAAACCGAGAAGTCAATAAATGGAAAATTCGAAAAATAGAAAAATTTAAGGTTATTAAAAAATTAAAAAATCGTAAAATCGAAAATTCAAAAAACCAGAAATCGAAAATTTCAACCATCGGAAAATCGAGAAAAGGGAAAGACGAGAAGTAGAAAAATTGAAAAATCAAGAAATCTAAAAAGCTAGAAATCAAACCAGCCAAAAATCAAAAAATCGAAAAATTCCAAAATTTAGAAAAGTCAAAAACTGTATTATTGAAAAATCGAAAAATTTAAGAATCGAAGAATGGAAAAATCGTACAACTGAAATATCGGAAAAAAAACAAAAAAAAAACACGAGGAATTGAAAAATCGAGGAATTGGAATGTCGAAAAATTTTAAAATCAAAACACTGAAAAATCTCAAAACTCAAATATCGAACATTTGAAAATTCGAAAGATTGTACAATCTTGATTTTTTGTTAAAAAATCTCCACGTCTAGGATAAAAATTCAACCCGGAAACAGGACCACGTTATTTTCTAATATTTCAGTAAAATTAGTTTACAAAATTGTAAGATATCAAGTATTTTTTATTTACTATCTTTACCCGCTTTTGCAGTTTCAAAATTAAATTCGGAAATGTTATACAATTTTCATTTTTTTTCAAAAATCTGAATTTTTAGGGTGAAAACTAACCCACCCATACCTAATACACACATAAAATTTGACGATCCGTCCAGGCATTTCGGAGATTATCTGCCTAATACAAAGCGGGACAGACGGCAGACAGACAGATGGAAACGGGAACCTATTTTTTTCGTACTTTAGGGGACATGAAACCTCGAGAAAAAATAAAAGTAGCCAGTCGCCCAATGGACTCGATTACAATATTTTTATAATAACCTTCAAAATTAAATATGATTTAATCTTCTACTTAAAACCGTGTAATTAAAAAAAAAGAGGGATTAGACGACTAGTGATCAATATTACAAAACTGATAAA